TCATCTGTTGATGGACATTTAGGTTGGTTCCATGCCCTAGCTATTAGAAATAGTGCTGCAATGAACATTGTGGTACATGTCTCTTTTTGAATTATGGTTTTATCAAGGTATATGCCCAGTAGTGGGATTGCTGGGTGATATGGCAGTCCTATTTTAATTTTTTAAAGAAGCTCCTTTCTGTTTTCCATGGTGATTGTATCAATTTACATTCCCACAAACAGTGCAGGAGGGTTCCCTTTTTAACCACACCCTTTCCAGCATTTAATTTTTCTAGATTTTTTGATGATGGCCATTCTGACTGGTGTGAGGTGAAACCTCATTGTAGTTTTGATTTCCATTTCTCTAATAATTAGTGATGGTGAGCATTTTTTCATGTGCCTCCTGGCCAGCTGTACATCTTCTTTGGTGAAATGTCTATTTAGGTCTTCCACCCATTTTTTAACTGTATTGTTTGTTTTTTTGATATTGAGCTCCATGAGCTGTTTGTATATTTTGGATATTAATGCTTCATCTGTTGTTTCATTTGCAAATATTTTCTCCCATTCTGAGGGCTGTCTTTTTGTTATTTATGGTTGCCTTTGCTGTGCAAAAGCTTTGAAGTTTCATTAGGTTCCATTTGTTTATTTTTCTTTTTATTTCCATTACTCTAGGAGGTGGATCAAAAAAGATCTTGCTGTGATTTATGTCAAAGAGTGTTCTTCCTATGTTTTCCTCTAAGAGTTTTATAGTGTCCGGTCTTACATTTAGGTCTTCAATCCATTTTGAGTTTACTTTTGTGTATGTTGTTAGGGAGTGTTCTAATTTCATTCTTTTCCGTGTAGCTGTCCAGTTTTCCCAGCTCCACTTATTGAAGAGGCTGTCTTTTCTCCTTTGTATGTTCTTGCCTCCTTTGTCATAAATTAGGTGTCCATATGTGCGTGGGTTTATCGCTGGGCATTCTATCCTGTACTACAGATCTACATCTCTGTTTTCGTGCCAGTACCATACTGTCTTGATTACTGTAGCTCTGTGGTATAATTTGAAGTCGGGGAGCCTGATTCCTCCAACTCCATTTTTTTTCTCAAGATTGCTTTGGCTATTCAGTGTCTTTTGTGTTTCCATACAAATTGTAAAATTTTTTGTTCTAATTCTGTGAAGAATGCCATTGGTAGTTTGATAGGGATTGCACTGAATCTGTAGATTGCCTTGGGTGGTATAGTCATTTTCACAACATTGATTCTTCCGATCCAAGAACATGGTATATTTCTCCATCTGTTTATGTCATCTTTGATTTCCTTCATTAGCGTTTTATAGTGTTCTGAGTACAAGTCTTTCGCCTCCTTAGGCAGAGGGAGAAAGACTTAGGCAGGTTTATTCCTAGGTATTTTATTCTTTTTGTTGCAATGGTAAATGGGACTGTTTCCTTAGTTTCTCTTTCTGATTTTTCATTGTTGGTGTATAGGAATGCCAGAGATTTCTCTGCATTAATTTTGTATCCTGCAACCTTACCAAATTCATTGATTAGTTCTAGGAGTTTTCTGGGGGCATCTTTAGGATTTTCTATGTATAGTGTCATGTCATCTGCAAAGAGTGACAGTGTTACTTCTTCTTTTCCAATTTGTATTACTTTTATTTCTTTTTCTTCTCTGATTGCCATGGATAGGACTTCCAAAACTATGTTAAATAACAAGTTTTTTAACAAGTTTTTAACAAGACATCCTTGTCTTCTTCCTGATCTTATTGGAAATGTTTTCAGTTTTTCACCATTGAGTATAATGCTTCCTGTGGGTTTGTCATATATGGCCTTTATTATGTTGAGGTAGGTTCCCTCTATGTGCATTCTCTGGAGAGATTTTATCATAAATGGGTGTTGAATTTTGTTAAAGCTTTTTCTGCATCTATTGAGATGATCATGTGGTTTTTATTCCTTAATTTATTAATGTGGTGTATCACATTGATTGATTTGCATATACTGAAGAATCCATGCATCCCTGTGATAAATCTCACTTGATCATGGTGGATGATCCTTTTAATGTGTTGTTGGATTCTGTTTGCTAGTATTTTGTTCAGGATTTCTGCATCTATGTTCATCAGTCATATTCGTCTGTAATTTTCTTTTTTTGTGATATCTTTTTCTGGTTTTGGTTTCAGGGTGATGGTGGCTTCATAGAATGAATTTGGGAGTGTTTCTCCCTCTGCAATTTTTTGGAAAAGTTTGATAAGGATCAGTGTTAGCTCTTCTCTAAATGTTTCACAGAATTTGCCTGTGAAGACGTCTGGTCCTGGACTTTTGTTTGTTGGAAGATTTTAAATTACGGTTTCAATTTCATTGCTTGTGATAGGTCTATTCATATTTTTTAATTCTTCCTGGTTCAGTCTTGGAAAATTGTACCTTTCTAAGAATTTGTCCACTTCTTCATGGTTGTCCATTTTATTGGCATATAGTTGTTTGTAGTATTCTCTTACAAATCTTTGTATTTCTGCAGTGTCAGTTGTGGTTTTTCCTTTTTCCTTTCTAATTTTATTGATTTGAGTCCTCTCCCTTTTTTTCTTGATGAGTCTGGCTAAGGGTTTATCAATTTTGTTTATCTTCTCAAAGAACCAGCTTTTAGTTTTATTGATCTTTGCTATTGTTTTCTTCATTACTATTTTATTTCTGCTCTGATCTTTATGATTTCTTTCCTTCTACTGACTTTGGGTTTTCTTTGATCTTCTTTCTCTAGTTGTTTTAGGTGTAGGGGTAGACTGTTTATTTGAGATTTTTCTTGAGGTGAGATTGAATTGCTATAAACTTCCCTCTTAGAACTGCTTTTGCTGCATCCCATAGATTTTGGGTTGTCGTGTTTTTGTTGTCATTTGTTTCTATGTATCTTTTGATTTCCTCTTTGATTTCTTCAGTCATCTCTTGGTATTTAGTAGCATATTGTTTAGCCTCCATGTGTTTGTGTTTTTTATGTTTTTTCCCCCTGTAATTTATTTCTAATCTCATAGTGTTGTGGCTGGAAAAGATGCTTGATATGATTTCAATTTTCTTAAATTTACCAAGGCTTGATTTGTGACCCAAGATGTGATCCTGGAGAATGTTCCATGTGCACTTGAGAAGAAAGTGTATTCTGCCACTTTCAGGTGGAATGTTCTATAAATATCAATTAAATCTATCTGGTCTGTTGTGTCCTTTAAAGCTTGTGCTTCCTTATTTATTTTCTGTTTGGATGATCTGTCCATTGGTGTAAGTGGGGTGTTAAAGTCCCCTACTATTATTGTGTTACTATCGATTTCTCCTTTCATGGTTGTTGGCATTTGCCTTGTGTACTGAGGTGTTCCAATGTTGGGTGCATAAACATTTATAATTGTTATATCTTCTTCTTGGGTTGATTCTTTGATCATTATGTAGTGTTCCTCCTTATCTCTTGTAACAGTCTTTATTTTAAAGTCTATTTTATCTGATATTAGTATTGCTACTGCAGCTTTCTTTTGATTTCCATTTGCATGGAATATCTTTTTCCATCCCTTCACTTTCAGTCTGTATGTGTCCCTAGGTCTGAAGTGGGTCTCTTGTAGACAGCATATATATAGGTCTTGTTTTTGTATCCATTCAGCCAGTCTTTTCTTTTGGTTGAGGCATTTAATCCATTTACAATCAAGGTTATTATCAATATGTATGTTCCTATTACATTTTCTTAATTGTTTTGGATTTGTTTTTGTGGGTCTTTTTTTTCTCTTATGCTTCCCACCTAGAGAAGTTTCTTTAGCATTTGTTGTAAAGCTGGTTTGGTGGTGCTGAATTCTCTTAGCTTTCACTTGTCTGAAAAGCTTTTGATTTCTTCATTGAATCTGAATGAGATCCTTGCTGGGTAGTGTAATCTTGGTTGTGGGTTTTTCTCTTTCATCACTTTAAGTATATCCTGCCACTCCCTTCTGGCCTGCAGAGTTTCTGCTGAAAAATCTGCTGATAACCTTATGGGTATTCCCTGGTATGTTATTTTTTGCTTTTTCCTTGATGCTTTTAATATTTTTCTTTGTACTTAACTTTATATAGTTTGATTAATATGTCTCAGTGTGTTTCTCCTTGGGTTTATCCTGTATGGGACTCTCTGCACTTCCTGGATTTGGGTGGGTATTTTCTTTCCCATGTTAGGGAAGTTTTCAACTATAATCTCTTCAAATATTTTCTCAGACCCTTACTTTTTCTCTTCTTCTCCTGGGACCCCTATAATTCAAATATTGGTGCATTTAGTGTTGTCCCAGAGGTCTCTGAGATTGTCTTCAATTCTTTTCCTTGTTTTTTCTTTATTCTGCTGCTTGGCAGTTATTTCCACCATTTTGTCTTCCAGCTCACTTATTTGTTCTTCTGCCTCAGTTATTCTGTTATTGATTCCTTCTAGTGTATTTTTCATTTCAGTTATTGTGTTGTTCATCTGTATTTGTTCTTAATTCTTCTAGATCTTTGTTAAACATTCCTTGTATTTTCTCAATCCATGCCTCCATTCTATTTCCGAGATTCTGGATCACCTTTACTATCATTACTGTGAATTCTTTTTCATGTTGATTGCCTGTTTCCTCTTCATTTATTTGGTCTTGTAGGTTTTTACCTTGCTCCTTCATCTGTCACATATTTTTTTGCTGTCTCATTTTTTTTTATTTTTATGAGTGGGATTGTGTTCCTGTCTTACTGGTTGTTTGGCCTGAGGCTTCCAACACTGGAGTTTGTAGACTGTTGTGTAGAGCTGGGTCTTGGTGCTGAGACAAGGACCTCCATGAGACCTCACTCCAGTGAATATTTCCAGAGGTCTGAGTTTCTCTATTAGTTCAGTGGTTCAGACTCGGAGCTCCCACCACAGAAGCTTCCTTCACCTGACCCCCAGCTCATGAACCAAGATCCCCCAAGCTGCGTGAGTGGCAAAAAAAAAAAAGAACAATAACAAAGTAAAAAATTAGGCTAGGAAACTAACAGATATGTTAGAAAGAATACAAAAATATTGAAACAACCAGAAGGTACATCAGCACCACAATAGAAAAAAAAAAGTGTGGAACGCTTCACAAATTTGCGTGTCATCCCTGCACAGGGACCGTGCTAATCTTCTCTGTATCATTCCTATTTTAGTAATATGTGCTGCCGAAGTGAGCACTAATTGTATTTATTAAGAGTCCTTAAAGAGGTAACTGAATTGATATGAGTTCATTGGGGTGAGCCCTAATCCAACATGACTGATGTCCTTATAAGAAAAGGAAGTGTGGACATGGACACATACAGAGGGAAGACGATATAAAGACAACAGGGAGAAAACGGCCATCTAATAAGTCAGAGAGAGGCCTGGAACACATCCTTCCCTCAGAAGAAATCAACTCTGCCAATGCCTTAATTGAGGACTTCCAGCCTCTAGAACTGTGAGAAAATAAATTTCAGTTGTTTAAGTCACCAGCTGTGGAACTTTGTTACGGCAGCCCTAGCAAACTAATACACTGCATTTAAATTTTGTAGCCCTTTAGCCATGCTTCAGTTGTTGTTTCCTTCATTTTTCCTAGGGGATTGGAAAAGTCTGCCCATCTTTGACACTCCCACTTTTGCATGGAGGGGATATTATGTGCAAACCAGTGGCCTTGGAGATAACTGGTCCCTTAGGCTGACTCCCTCCCAGAGAAGGCAAATTCATCCCAGCCACTGAACTATCTCTTAGGAAAAAAAAAAAGAAAGAAAATATTTCTGTAACGAGGTAATGACCTCTACTGGAAGCTGTGTGGACTTACAGAGATCCCAGTTAGTCTCAAGACTTAGGGAGAAAAAAAAATAGAACAGGTTTAAATGTTAAGAAGTGGTGACCTCAGAGGAATTTCTAAGGCAGAACACTGTTACCATCAACCAGTAAATAAATCTAAATTAAAAGAAAGTGTAGCAGAATAAAATAGAAGGAAAACCTTCAAATCATGTGTTGCTTATTGCTGCTGAGGGCAAGGTGGGCGAGAAGGAGGGTCACATCCAGTCAGGGGCATCTCCACACTCAACATCCTCTGAAAGATTTCTAGCTCCTTGCTACTCAGAGTGTGTTCTGGGGACCAGCAGCTGAGGTCCCACCCCAGAGTTGTTGAATGAAAATCTAAATTTTTTAACAAGCTTCCCAGATGATCTATAAACGCGTTAAAGCTTGAGATGCACTGCAGACTTATTCAGAAAGGTGACATCTTTGTTCTTCTCTGGTAATTCCAGGTGGGAAAAGGCAAATCAACCTAAAGAAGGTTCTAAGTTCCTAAGCTCATTTTTCTTCACATTAGTGCGTATTATCCAAATACCCATAAAATGTACAGGTTGAATTAACAAATGTTTAATTAGTCATTTTTTTAAAAATTTTTAATCCTGAAAACAACTAATGACAGCTTGGAACTCTCTGATTTCCAGAGTTTTCCATGGAAATGATGATCCTTCTAGCCCTCCTGTTAATCATCCTCTGTCAGGGAAGCAGGAAGTTTGAATTTTAACTCTTCTTAATGAATGCATTTCACATACCAGAAGTACCTCGGCAATTTGCTCAAGAGCTTTAGAAGCCATTACTAGATTGCAGTTCAAATTCATTTCATCTGCTTCCTAAACTGGCCCTATTGTTCATCTTCACACTATTCTAATGCATGGTACCAAGACACAGCTACTTTTGTTCAACAGGAAAAACAGTTTTTCTTGTAAGTGCCCCTAAAACCAGAGTGTATTAATTTGTTTAAAACACAGTTTATATCTGGTGGTGTTCTGGTGAATGTTTAATAACCAGCTTTCAAAACAAAGTTGAAGCTATAATTTACAGCACTTGCCAATTGCCATAGTATAAATTCTCCCATCTTGAACAATTTCACGATACCAACATGATCATGAAGTTGGGGAAATATGCACACAGTTGCTTCATGACAGTACAAGCAGGCATCACTATGTATTTCCAAAATACCATCAAATACCTTCCCATTTCCCAGACTACCTTCAAAATACATGTCAGTGCACAGTATATGTGCTGTGCAATTGTACAACCTTAATATATACCAATAGAAAACTACCAGGTTTGGGATAAAATACTAGTTTTATTAATGATGTGATTAATGCTTTTATTATAACAGTAAGATGGTGATATAAAAATTTAATGCTATGAAACTCTCAGGAGCAGAGATTCAAAACAGCTACTCCAAAATTTACTCTAGTAACCTTACCCTTCCCACACTTCCCTGTAGGAGCTGTCTTCTACATAAAGAAGGCTAAGTTTGTATTTAGTGTCCTTGCAACTACCTTAAGGTAGTTCTCCTAGTTATGACAACCCTTCCCACAGTCTTCATTACCAATTACTTTTTGCTGGCAGTTTAAGGCCTTTCAATCTGGGCCAGTCATGCCTCTGGCAGTTTCTGTGCTCCATCTTTAATTTCTCCATCTCACACCAGAAAAACCTGTCTATGTTTTTATTAATTTCCGAGGACCATGATCCACCTCATAAATTAATTCATTAGATTTTCACCATCAATGCCACCATACAATGGAATGACACTGTTATGGGTTTAACTGTATCCTCCCCAAAATGTTAAAGTCTTAACCATCAGTACCTGTGAATGTAACCTTATTTGGTAATAAGGTCTTCACAGGTGATCAAGTTAAGATGAAATCATTAGGATGGATCCTTACATAATATGACTTGTATCCTCATAAAAAGGAGAAATTTGGACACAGAGCCAGACATGCCTGGAAAGAAGAACACCTTGATTTCAGACTTCCTAGCCTCCAGAACTGAGACAATAGGTTTCTGTTGTTTAAACCAATCAGTTGATGGCAGACCTAGCAAATTAACACAGTCACAATCAGAAGAGGCATGTCTCAACTAATTTTTTTTTACTCACATCCAACTTGGAACATTAGTGATACTTTTGTTCTTATAAAACTTGACCAGATTCTAGGTTATTCTAATAATTATGTCACTCTCATTCTTTGTATTCTGAGATGCTTTCATAATAGGAAGGAAAAGAGTAGAGATACAGTTGGGCATCATACACAACACTGACTGCATCAATGAGAAAGAAAAGCATGTGTGAACACAACTAGTCATAAGTGTCATGATAGAAAAAGTGGCTGAGAAATGCTACAATATTTGGTACAAAACTATTATCAACTTGCTAATGCAGTTACTAACTCCTACAAAAGGGGACTTAAATATGTAACTAAAGAGACCTCACTTTAACCCATTCCTCTAATGCACAAATTTCCGAAACTGAAAGCAGGCTGGTGTAGAAGATGTTCTGAGGAAGAAAAACCTGCTTGGAATCCTTTGAATTGGTGCTATAGTCAGCCACAAACTCCATCTACATTAAAAGCAAGCTCTGAAAATTAGTTTCTAAACCCAAAGGCGCAAAAACAGAAATGTAACTGCTAAAACTCTTATTTATTGTATCATAACATTTTAGATCCTGGAGGGATCTGGGAGCCTCATATTTTATAAGAAAGAAGTAAAACCTAGAGGTACTTCTCTAAGGTTGTAATTAAAGGGAAAACTCAACCCCATTTCTTAGTTTCTTATATTCTAGTCCCAACTACCAGAAATGAAGTTTATAAACCTGATCATGTCTCTTAGTCACTTCAAGAGCTTTTATAAAAATGCACATTTCCAGGGCCCAAGCTTAAAAATTCAGATTCAAATCCCAAGTTTTGCTCATGGATCTGTACTTAAATTCTTGGGGACTTTGGCTGTGTAGGGAAGTCTGAAACCACTTTTGAAAAAACTTCTGCCTAGAGACCTCTTACCTTTGGTCTGCTTCTCATTTCACTCAGACCCAGCTCTGTGTGATGATTACCACATCTTCTCTAATCCTGAGAAAAATGCTTAGGGTCCTGTGGACCTGCTGATAATACAGGTTCACACTGACTCTGATAATGTAGAAGCTGCTCCCCTTGACTCCTGGGCAAGTCCTTAGTACACAGAATATTTTAGAGCAGAAGAGGAAAAACAAACCTGAAACGTCTTAAAACAACCTTTTTTGAATGCTCTCATTTCATACTCATTTTCTGCTCCTTAATTTGCCCGAGTACATTCAATTTTCAGCCTCACACGAATAGCCATTTTCCCATTCACCAAGGGTAAGATGATTTATGTAGGGTGAGTTGTAATAAGCACAGGTTTCATTTATTTTCTATCATTGCTGTATCTCCTAGGGGAAGAGTTGATTTTAAAACAATAAACCAAAATGAAAAATTTAAAACTATGGCGAAGTGAATCACAATTAGTTATAAAATTTGATACTTCAAACTGGGACCTAGGATATCCCACGGGATGGGGAGACTGAGGAGAACACAGGAGAGAGCTGAATGTAGGAAATTTAGAGGTGTAAATAACTTCGCATTGGTGGTAGTGGTGGTAGAGGTTGTCAACTGCAAGGTGTGCGACTAGAATGAAGCTGAGTCTGTATTCTGGGCATCCATCCTGAGCTTTCTCACTCTCACACTTGAAGCTCCCGTGCATCACCAGAGAGGGAGACTGAAACTTCAAAGTTTAAGAGGTATGGTTGTACTGAAGATTTTACCTGTGAAACATCTCTCAAATATTCTTTCCCTTCTTCATCCCAGCTCTATCTCCTTAGGTGAGACCCTCATCAACTCTCTCCTGAAGTAGCTCAGGAGACTCTAACTGATTTCCTTGCTTCCAGATTCTTCCATACTCATGCCCTTTCAGCAATACTTCTTTCCCATCTGAGCACTTCACCCTCAGTATCTCCAGCTCCCACACCCCACACCTCAGAGATCACAAGGCTTCTGGAAAATAGGAACTATCTCCTCTTGCCGCCTGTTTGGAGATTCCTGCTGTAGAATACAGGTTCAGGCTGAACTCCCGTAGCCTATACAGCCTGCAGTAATGTCAGGGTTTCTATTCCAAACTGGAGAACCCAAGGAGGATCTGGAAGAGTCATATTTTGAAATCTTCCTAGTTGGGCTGTCTCTCCTTTGGAGCCCTATTTATTTGCAAAGGACAAGAAAAAAAAGGGCAATGGGGCTCTTTTGGAATTTGTGCTTCAGAGTCTAGGGTTGACCTTTTTGCCTTTGTTTCCAGCACTGAAACATGAGACCAGTTCGGTTCAGTGGCATACAGCGTGATTAGGACTAAAATCAATTTCATATTCC